TTTTCCCGGGAGATGACTGATGCACTGAAGGAGATTGGCATTCAAGTAATTAATTACTTATTGACTTTTGGAATTTTCTGAAATTCCTAAGCGTCATGTAATTTTTACAACATTTTTTTCAACAGTATGTTAAGGTTTTTTGATTCTTGAAATTTCTTGAAAAAATTTTTAAAAATCTATTTTTTTGGCAGTATCAGTAAATTGACTTTTTTGCTGCTTGTAGAAGCTTGGAATTCTGCTAAATTTTACGATTCTTTTGCTCTTTGAAGGATGCTCCGGTTATTACCGAACCAGTCTTATCTTCTTCAAAAGAGATGGCTACATTCACAGCCCTTCCTGAGGCTATGGAACCGGACGATTATATGCGGTTCAAAAAACTTGAGAAGCAGTTGGAGCATTTAGGTGTCATGGAGGAGTATGTTAAATTAGAAACGAGGAATCTTGAGAAAGAATTATTACACGCACAAGAGGAGGTTAATTTCAACTGTTTTTTACGGTTTTCTATATGTTTACTGCTTTTTGAGTACAGGCTATTGTTGGTCATTCTTTAAGTAAACATTTTCTCAGTATTTCATTGGGAGTAGTTAGAGACCTGAGCGCGTTTTGTTTTAGAATAAGCCTGAAATCTCCACAGTCAAAAACTTCCGATTGTGTTTTCCCTTATTTAAATGATAATGCGTTAAAATTCTGTTTGTTTTCAAGGTTAAACGAATACAGTCTGTCCCGCTGGTAATAGGGCAGTTCTTAGAAGCTGTTGACCACGACCACGCTATTGTCGGTTCTACAACAGGTGTCTATACGTTTCTGGTCACTTTGATTGTTTTTTTCGACTTTGCTTCATTCTGATAGTCTGTACCTGAAATTCTTGTTTCACTTGTGCTTAACATTTTACAGGTTCTAACTATTTCGTCAGAGTTTTGTCAATCTTAGACAGAGAACTTTTGAAGCCTGGTTGTAGCGTAGCATTGCACAAATATAGTAATGCTTTAGTCGACGTCCTGCCTCCAGAAGCAGATTCTACGATACAGATGCTTCGCCCAGATGAGAAGCCTGATGTAAACTGCGTTTTCAGCTTCATTGAAACTGTAGAAGGGTACTCTTGTTACATTATTTTCTTATCAAGTGTGCTGTACGTCATGAGTTTCAGGTTTCGTATGCAGATATTGGTGGTCTTGATATGCAAAAACAAGAAGTGCGAGAAGCAGTAGAACTGCCTCTAACGCATGGTGAATTGTACCAACAGGTGGGTTAAGCTATTAGCCATTTTAGTTGTAATTTTAGGGTTTTTTCGTTTGTATACCTGGCTATATTGCTGTTATAGTATTTTCTTCTTTGTGTGTTACTTTCTTCTGTGTACTTATCAGCAAATACTTAGATTGGTATTGATCCCCCTCGAGGCGTTTTAATGTATGGTCCTCCTGGATGCGGTAAAACAATGCTTGCGAAAGCAGTTGCAGCGCATACAACTGCTTCATTTATTCGTGTTGTTGGAAGTGAATTTGTCCAGAAATATCTCGGAGAAGGTTTTGTAGTTATTATGCTGTTATATTAATTATGACTGATAGAGTAATGATAATTCTTGAAGGACCTAGGATGGTTAGAGACGTTTTTCGCCTTGCTAAGGAGAACAGTCCTTCAATCATATTTATTGATGAGATTGATGCAATTGCTACTAAGCGTTTTGATGCCCAAACTGGTGCAGATCGTGAAGTACAGAGGATTCTGTTAGAATTATTGAATCAGATGGATGGATTTGATCAAAGCACGAATGTTAAGGTAATGTCTTTGATGGGTTTTTGTTGTTTTGGAAGAAGTAGTTTTAATTTAACAGTTGATTAGAGGAAGTTCCGGTTTATCATGTAGTTTTGCTTACTGAAAATATTCTATGTAAAACTGTTTTGCCAATCAGTACTAGGAAATTTTATTATTAGTGACAGTCAATTCTTGACGTTTTAGGTGATAATGGCTACAAATCGTCAAGATACACTTGATCCGGCGTTATTGAGGCCTGGTCGTTTGGACAGAAAAATCGAATTTCCAATGCCTGATCGTCGACAGAAGCGTTTAATATTTTCAACTATTACTGCGAAGATGAACCTTTCTGATGAAGTGGACATGGAAGACTTTGTTGCACGGCCAGATAAGGTTTCGGGCGCTGATATTAATGCTATTTGCCAGGAGGTTGGTTGATGAAACCTCTGTTTATTTGTTTTTTTTTTCCCTTGTTTGGCGTGAATCATTTGTTCTTTTACTTTTTTTGGAAGAGGAGGATTATTGCTGTTTGATTCAATTCAACAAATGTATTTATAGGCTGGTATGCACGCTGTGAGGGAAAATCGATACGTTGTTTTAACGAAAGATTTTGACAAGGCTTATAAGTCTGTGATTAAAAAAGATCAAAATGATTTCGAGTTTTATAAGTGATTTTGTTAACCACATTTTTAAACTGTTTTGTACTTTGGTTCGCTAAAACCACGATCAGTTGTATTTGGTTTTAGCCGATTTTGGAAAGAAAGAAAAATGTGAAGTTTAAAATTAAGCCTGTAACTTGAGTGCTTCAAAAGTGTTATGTCAACTGTTGGATAGTGTCTTTGCTTACAATTGTACTCTGCGCATATTCAAATGCGAGCCTAATGAATGAATGATGATGTGATGTCGTTTGTTGACTCTTAATTTGCCGTCCAGTAGATCTTCGAGTCATAAATTATTTTTTTTAGATTTTAATTTTTTTGACGTCATAGTGATCAATTGCATGTTTGGGTCAGCAAGCTGCCGAAGATTTTCGCTTTTTTGTTTGATTTTTTAGTTCACTCTGTTTGCATTTAACGTTGAATAAAAGAAAGAAAAATCACGATATAAGAGCGGTCACACCGTGGCGTCCTTTTGCGTATGAGTTTAGCCTTAGTATCGTCCCAGTGGTTAATTTGATTTTAGAGGATTGTAGTTCTAAAAGTTGCTTTTTTTTGTTCCTGGTAAACTACCGCTCTGTGTGTGGGGTTACTTCTTAATAAGATTTTGAGGCGCACTTTTCGCATCTTGCACCTCATTATTCTTATTTTGCATGATGCATTCGGGTACAATTTAGATAGGCATTTTCGCGATGACTACGTAATTTTTTAATTTGTAAAGCTCGTTGGAAGCAGATTGTGAAATGAGAAATATGACAAAATTAAGTGAGTGATGATGAGTGTTCAAGAACTGGCTTTAGCAGACTGTTTAGATGACGTTGATATACAGAAGGTCTCTGGAGAAGAGGTGTTACGCATGAATGCCCTGAAGGAGTTAATTTACGACTCTTAAAGCTTTTAAAGTTTCTTTGTCTCTAGTTTTTTTTTCTTTCAACGCTGCAACGCAGTGGGTATTTCTCACTCAAAGAAAAGGATTCTTTTGTTTGCCATGAACATAACCTAGTCAGAACTGTTTTAAAATTTCATTAATGTCTGATGAGTTTCAAACTGTTACAGGCTACATAATTCGTAGGTGTTGTGTACATACATACAGCTATAATGAAAGTGATATTTAACAACGTACTGCTGCCAGAAGTTTTTGTCCTCAATTTTCAATAAATCATGGAAAAGATTTTACTTATCATAACTTTACAGCACCAGCTGTATCAAAATGTTACAGTATTGTTATCGTATTAATAAATGGAAAAGAAAGAAGAGGAAAAAATTTCATGTTTCTTTTTTTTTTTCATTTTCGTTACAGAATTTCTGACTGAAAGGTGAACAGCAATAGCAGCTGGAAGAAAAGATAAACATATCTGCACGTGGAGGGGTAACAGCAAGATGCATATTATAAAAATCACAAATGATGGACACCAATGACGTGACTTTTTTACTCCCCCACTTCTATGATCAATCAGTCCCGAAAGATTCCGAAAAAAAAATTTTTTTGATCCCCTTATTTTTCCCCTCTCGTTACTGCCGCCACTCGTTTCTTCCGTTATCATCTCCGTCATTTTGGATACTTTTACCGTAGGAAGATGAGTTATACATGAAATCCAAACAAGAAAATGCTGCCTATCGCCATAAGTGCTGCTGGATATCTATGAATATTAGCTGTTTGCAGTAATAAGATCATCGTCGTCACCACCGTCAACATCGCCATTGTCGGCAACAGCAGCAACAAGCATCCAAGTTTATCTATATGCACAACAATGTCGTAGATGCCATGTTGGGAACAACGAATAAATATAGTCTTTTAAGCGGACACAGACACAAGCACACATATCCGACACAGACAAACATACAAACTCACACCCATACACAAACACACGAGCACGGAGGACACACAAACGCACCCCATAGATTATTTCTATCGAACCAGCAAAAGAAATTGCGTTGTCGAGCGGCGAAATGAATGATATGGCGGCAATTTTTTTTAAGTGATGGCAGCGGTAACGACGATGATGGCGACGAACAACGGCCAACAACAGCCAACAACTGGTGATGATGATGTTGATGGTGCTATAATTAATATTTGGCTACAACAGGCGGATGATGATGAAGCATCTGAATTTTACACGCATCCAAACAATTCAATCATTGTTGTTTTAGGATCATACATTGCACTCTTTCTCTCTATCTTGTCCGGGAAAAATCTTGTGCTCTGTGTGTGTGTGTGTGTGTGT